TCCTTCCTCTCTGAAATCAATAAAAATGTATTAAAAAAAAATCCTCAGGTGAGGATTAACAACAACAACAAAAAAAGTAAGTAAGGGATTTCATTCTGTGCCTGTTATTTGTAAAATGGAGAATAACCTTTTGACCTCCTTACAAAGATGTTGTGGGGATATGAGAGTATGTATAAAGTCCTTAGATTTGGAAGAAAAGTAGAAAAGAGTAGTTAGTATATGTTATGTGTTGTCCAATATCATTTATTAACTAATGGGTGAAAGTCTCAAATACCGTAGTTTGAAACTAAATTAGGAAGAAACACTTTTGGGAAGGTGAAGTTTCTGGGATCATATGTTTTGTATCTGGTTGTATGGAGGAATCATAGAATCCCAAAATGGAGTCTTCTTTTTCAGAAGGTTATATCCTGTTAGAGGGGACCCCTTTTCAGTTCATTAAACATTTGAGTACTACTCTGCCCACCACAGCTCAAGGCACTGGAGATAAGTATAAATAAGACATGATCTCTTCTATCAAAGGTGGTTGGTGGGAGAGCAGTATATTTGTCTAATAGTACTTAATATTAAGTGCTTTTTGTTAGTTTATTCATAGCTGCAGAAGGCTGTTGTAAAATAAATGATAAGAGAGAGGATTGAGCCAGGATAGAGGCAGTGGATTTGAAGTTGAAGTTGAAGGGATAGATTTGATAAGAGATTAGATATTTAGAAGTTTGAATTTTGGAGTTTAAGGACTGCTTGGATGTGGGATGTAAAATAAAGGAAATGAGAAATCTAGGAAGACTTGAGTCTCGGTAAAACTTACTCATCTAAAATCAAATTCTTATTTCCTCTCTTTAAAACTGGGACCTCTCTTACTCACCCCCAATTCACATAAATGTTTGAGCAAGCCCCAGCCTTGGAGTTATCATTATTCCCTTTCATTACTCCTTCCACCCCACTACCACTACTACCATCCACTTACAAAAAAACTCTTTGGCTATATTCCAGATTATATTATACCCTGAATTTGTTATTTCTCTCCATCTTTTCCGTTACCATCCTGGTCCTAGCCATTGTCACCTACTGGATAATATAGCTTCCCCATTCGTCTCTCTGCTTCTTTTCTTGTTTCACTAAATCACTTTTCCACATAGCAGAGTGATCTTTTGAAAATGTAAACTGATCACATTGTTCCCCAGTTAAAACCCTCCAAAGGCTTCCCATCGCACTTGGAATAAAATCCAAAATTCTCACCATGGCCCACAAGGTCCTATGTAATCTGGCTTTTTCCTTCCTGTGTGTTCTTTATACAGCTTTCTCAACCACCCCAACCTTGTTGTTCCTCAACCAAGCCAAATTATTTCCAGCCTTAAGGGGGACTTGTGCCTATGCTGTTCCCTCTGCTTGGAAGCATTTTTCTTTTCTGTTGGCTGACTTGTCATGTTTGTCATAATTCAGGTCTCAGTTACAATTACACTTCAGAGAGACCCTCCCTAATCACCCAGTCTGAAGTAGCCCTTTCCACCAATCATATAACACCCATCATATAAAGGTATTTTATTATTTTTTATTTCTGAGTGTTATCTGAAATTATCTTGTTTGGATATTTGTTTGCTTCAGGAATTTCTATTTAAATGCTTATGGATGTCAAGTGGGTAATGTAGATGCATGAATTGGTGTTTCTGGGTGTAAGACAATAGGAAATAGTAGGGACCTAAGTGATCCCTAGAGGGCATGTATACTGGGTAAGGGACAGTGGTGGCTGCTACTTATTATTCAGGAATCTAGCAGAAATTGCCTGTTTCAGAGAAGCTAGAAGTTGACAGATTATTATAAAGAGAAAAAATTAAGCACTGTATGGACCAAACAAAACACTAATGTGAGCCAGATGCAGCCCACCAGTCTCTTATTGGCAGCTTCTGGATTGTTCATTAACCCACTGGAATGTGAACTCCACAAAGGCAGACTCCTTGTCTATCTGATTTGCTCTATATCCCAAACACAGTACCTGGGACAGAATAAGCTCTCAATAAATGAACTCAAACCAGGGCAATTGACAGAAATGTCAATATCTTCTGTAACTATCCTCCCACTCCAGATTTCCACTATGGTTCTATGTTCATAATAACAAATTTCTGATTGATAATGCTATGCACATGGGTCCTAGTGAATATTAGCTTTCTGATTGTCAGAAGAATAAGACTAAAATACTTCTTTCGTATCTACTTGGCTCTGATCTTACTCTCATTGTATATCCAGGAAGGGTAGTGACCATAGAATGTTGAGTTACTGAAGTCAGAAGTCTTCCCTTCTGGTTTCAGTTGGATCATTGACTGATTTCAGACCTTGAGGAGGTAGATTATTTGGCCTCTCTGAGTTTGTTCCCTCATCTGTAAAATGGGAGTAAGTCTTGTCCTGTGTTTCTAATGAGCTGAGTGAAAGCACTACACAAAGTCATTACATAGACTTCCTGAGGGCAGAAAGCTCCTCTCACTAAAAATGAGCCTTCTTTTCTTGTAAGCATGGAGAAAGTATCTGGATATTAATGTAGAGCAGAGGCCACTGTGTTATTTTGATCAAATATCCTTGTGTATGAAGGCAGCATTAATATTTTATTACTATTTCAACTTCTGTGGGTTTGAAATTTTTCAAAATAAAAAGTTGGGGAATATTAAAAATGGTGATATATAGCCTATTTTTATCAGTTATCAAAAATAGAAAATATATTTAAGCCACAAGTGTATATTTAAAAGCCTATTGATAGTCTTGGTCAGTTTCCATTAAGATAATTATATTCATATTTAAAGATTGTTCTATAATTGGAGATTATAGAGGCTAAGCAGGAAGCACATACAAATATGATGAGTTCTCAGTAAGGTAGGTTACTTCATATAGTGCTAGATAGACCCAACACTGTTCTAAGTTGGCCCCATATCTAGGAACTTAACTTGGGGATTCATGTACTCCTCCACAAAATTCCAAAAATATGGGTCTTCCTAGTGAGCAGAGCTTTGTTTCAGCCCACAGCTCTTCAGGCTGAGGCCCATGAATGGGCACAGGTTGGCATTGCAAAAACAGCCACAGCACCTGAAAGCTTGGTTCATACACACAAAATTGTGAATGTCTTTTGAGATTGTGACTACCTTTCCAAGTCTTCATTTTAGGCTATCAACTTCCAGAGCTCAGGGCAGTTGGAAAATGAGTGTGGTTTCTACTTGCTTTCTATTCATTATACAAACCCAGTTTGAGCCCATTTGCATTTTCTTGATCATGTTAGTGTTTTTGGCAGAATGCACAGGAGAACAATCAGCCAGCACTCTGAGGGAGGAAAGTTTAACCTTTATTTCGCAGATCTGCTAGTCCAGGGGAATTCTGGATCCAAAGCCTGAACTCAACTCGTGGGGAGGCTCTGACCAATATATCTCCTCCTGTGGTGGGCCCCTGAGGGTCCCCACAGCTCTGCCCAAGTCAGTCTTTGCGGGGCCTTGGGGCATGCTCCGCAGCTCCGCCCAAGTCAGCTGTGGCAGGCCCTGGGGTTAGGCTCTGCAGCTCTGCCCAAGTCAGTCAGAGTGGGGAAGTAAGACTACAATTTTAACCAGATACTGAGCTAGGTTGCAAGGACCCTCATTTTCCTTTTCAGTTCCCCCTCTTGTTCCACAAGCTATTCTTAGCCTTGGGGATTACAAAAGACTCAGGAATTGGGGATAAGATTGACAACTGCTCTAGCTACTTCCTGCTGATCGGGGGCGATGAAAAGGGGTTCAGTATCGAGTCTTCCCCATCTTCCCCAAGGGGGTTGTTGGAGTAGCAAGGGCAGAGAAGTTCTCCTCCCAGTACCAGTCTAGGGTTCCGGTGACACTTGTGTAAAGACAGAATAAAACTGTTAGAAAAAAAACAAAAACAATAATTATCCAGATAGGAGGGGATAAGGAGATTCAGGTTGGTCAGCGGATCCGCTGTCTTCTTGAAGATGATCTGCAGGGGGTGGTTCAGGTCAGAGGTCACCTTCCACTCTGGATGCTGATTGTCCAGCTGGTGGGCTGCTTTTACCTGGGAGTGGTGGATCCAGGTGTTCAGTCCTGCAACTTTGAGAGCTGAGGGGATGGTTAGTATGACTGGAAAAGGTCCCTCCCGGTTGGCTTAAGGCAGCGGTTCTCAACCTGTGGGTCGCGACCCCTTTGGGGGTTGAACGACCCTTTCACAGGGGTCGCCTAAATACATCCTGCATATCAGGTATTTACATTACGATTCATAACAGTAGCAAAATTACAGTTATGAAGTAGCAACGAAAATAATTTTATGGTTGGGGGGTCACCACAACATGAGGAACTGTATTAAAGGGTCACGGCATTAAGAAGGTTGAGAACCACTGGCTTAAGGGGTTCCTTTTTCCAATCTTTTACCCAAACCTGGTCCCCAGGCTTGTGAGGATGCACAGCTGTTCCTAGAGAGATGGACAATCGATCAGTAACCCATCTGTGGACTTCAAGGATAGTTTTCCCAAGTCCTTGTAGCTGTTTCTGAATTTCTAAGTTCCCTATTTCCCCCAAATCTCCCTTTGGCCGAATTAAGGGAGGGGGTGTACCATATAGAATTTCAAATGGAGAGAACCCTACCTTGGCTCTCGGGGCACAGTGCACCCGCAGGAGAGATATCTGTCCAGGGTAAGTTTGTCTCCTGGCATAGCATAGCCATAGCCTACTTGAGAGTCCAGTTCATGCATTCTACTTTTCCTGACTCTGGGGCCTGTAGGCTGTATGTAAGTTCCACTTAATTCCTAAGGCCTTAGCTACCTGCTGTACTACCTCAGCTATAAAGGCTGGGCCAGTATCTGACCCTATGGTTAACTGCATTCCATACCATGGAATTATGTAACGCCTTAGTGACTTCTCTCGCCTTCTCCATGCGGGTACGATATGCCTCAACCCAGCCTGAAAAGGTGCAGACAAAAACTAAAAGATATTTATTTCCTCTACTAGGCCCTATTTCTGTAAAGTCTACCTCTAGATCTTCAAAGGAAGCCTGCCCACAGCACTGAATTCCTATCGGTCCTACAGGATCCTGCCTTGCATTGTTCTGTGCACAGAGGAGGCAGTGCTGAGAGACCGAGGCACATAAGGCGGGGAGAGGGGCAATTAGATCTTCTAGAGCCATCTTCCCTAAGTGGGTAAATTCATGCTGCTGGAGGACTACTCTATGAGCTAACTGTTACAACAGCATGAGGCACTTTAACATTTAAGTTCTGTCTCAGAGTGAGCTTGTCTGCCTCTTTGACTAATAAGGCTGTGGCTGCAAGAGCCCTGAGGCATGGGGGCCACCCAGAGGCAACCGGTTCAATCTGTTTGGAGAGGTAGGCTACTGGCCTCTGCCAGGGTCCCAACTCCTGAGTCAGAACTCCTAGGGCTACCCCGTCTTTGTCTTTATGGTCACGAAGGCTTTTTCCTGTTCAGGACCCCAGTTAATGGGTGCCTTTTCCTCTCCTTTTAAGGCTTCAGAGAGGGGCTTAGCTAGATCTGAGACTCCTGGGATCCAAATTCGACAGAACCCTGCTGCCCCTAGGAATTCTTGAATCTGTCGCTGGGTGCTGGGGACCGGTATGGCACATACTGCCTGTTTTCTTTCAGTCCCTAGTCTTCGTTTCCCTTGGGTAATTTGGAAACCTAGGTATTTGACTTCCCTCTGACAGATTTGAGCCTTCCTTTTGGACACCCGTAACCTGTTTCAGTTAAGAGTCTTAGAAGGGTTTGTGTTCCTTCCCAACACTGAGTTCGCATGGAGCTAGCCAGTAGGAGGTCGTCTACATATTGGAGTAGAACACACCCCACGTACTGTCCTGGAAATTTGGACAAATCTGCTGCTAGTGTTCCACTAAAAAGAGTTGGGGAGTTCTTGAACCCTGTGGCAGTCTGGTCCAGGTGAACTGTTCCTTAGCCCCTGTGGTTGGGTTTTCCCACTTAAAGGCAAACAGGGCTGACTGGAGGGTGCCAGCTGAAGGCAGAAAAAGGCATCTTTTAGATCTAGACATGTAAAGCATTCCGCTTCTGACAGAATGAGTACCAGGAGGGTGTATGGATTCAGCAGCGCCAAATGCAGGGTATAACGGCCTCATTAACAGCCCGCAGGTCTTGTACTGGGTGGTAATCATTGGTCCCAGGCTTCTTAACAGGTAAGAGAAGGGTGTTCCATGGAGACTGACACCACTTAACACATTTCGTACTGCATAGAAATCTCTAAGACATACGCCAGGGACCACACGTTTTTGGGCAAACTGCACGTTATTTAAATCATCATAACTACAGATCATAATGCACTTTAGGTGTTGTTTTTCAATAATTATAACATTTTTATTTACAAAAACAATTAAACAATTAAAGTTCCTAGTACTTTTTTAACGTATGGTACTGCGTAAAACATTTTCTAAAAGCGCCAGGAACTTGAAGACGAAGACTATTCGAATGACCAAAATACAATGTAACTGCAATGCTTTATGGGGTCGTGCAATTATATCGTTTTTCGTAGATTGACCTGCACGGTTTCCACCAATGAGATCGCTTCATTCGATGTGGACAAGACAGTGTGTTGACATCTAAGGTCCATAACAGATGGCGCGTGAAAAACGAGAAAACTCGTGAGCGGTCCTTAACAGATGGCGCGCGAAACACGAGAAAGCTCGTGAGCGGGACGAAAGGTGTTAGGAAGTGGTGGATAGAGCGTCAGCTTGCAGACTGAAGGGTCCCAGGTTCAATTCCGGTCAAGGGCACATGCCCAGGTTGTGCACTCGATCCCCAGTTGGGGGCGTGCAGGAGGTGGCGATCAATGATTCTCTCTCATCATTGATGTTTCTATCTCTCTCTCCCTCTCCCTTCCTCTCTGAAAACAACAAAAAAACATTAAAAAAAAAAAGCCTTAATGGTATTAGTAAATTGTCCAAGGCACACAACCTATAAATGGCATGCCCAGATATTTACATTTAGGCCTGTCTGGTTCTAAGATAGATACATACCTTTAACAACCAGGCCCATACCCAGAGGCAAGAATAGAAATGGATGCCCATATGCCACGTCTTAATATTTAAAAGTTAAATTATACTGAGCTCAAGTATGCTCTATCTTATCTTGATAGGTACAACATCCTAGAAGGCCAAGTTTGAATTTAGAATTCTCAGACTCATGTATGTCACAACATGGTCCCAAAACAGGCCATCCCATGGTCAAGGCCTGTTTCTCTTTTCTTCCTACCTGGTTCTTTCCCACATTGCAGGGGATACTCCAGTGCACACCTCCAAGTGCTGTCAGATCCCTGAGAACCATCACGCCTTCACCCACCACTTGAGCAGCACTGCCTTTACAGGAATGGAGCCAGGGGAGAGGCTCATACCGGCCCTGGAAGCAGATTTGGGCCTGTTTGGGTACAGATTCCAAGGTCTTAGGTACCTGGACTGTGGTCTGGTGGGTGAAGTGGCAGCAGAAGCTCTGGGTAGTCACATTTCCTTGGTCCTGCAAGGTCTGTGCCTCATGGCAGGAGGTCGCAGAAGGCATCTTCTTGACCACATCTAACACTATTAACCTCTGTGTTAACCACACTTCATTCCACCCACCCCCCTGCAGTTTCAAGTTCATTAAGCTCTCATTAATACACCAGAAATACAGTATTTTATTGCGAGTTCCTGGAAGTTCAGCCAGGTATATCTCAGAGCTCTAAAAATTCTGGACATGTGGAAGTAGTCTTGTATGTTTTCATAATTGGGATCTATGGCCTGATTACTGGCTGTCCATTCTCACCTTTAAGTTCTTCCAAGTATCCCACAGACCAGCTGCAGCCTGGGTAGCAGTATGGAAACAATTCATACCTTGATCATTCCTCCATCTCATCCCAGGACCAATCTGGGGTTAAGAAGGAAGCCATGGAGCGCTGAGCATACCAGCTTTCTAATAAACCCATAGAACTTTCCCTCCTGCTTTCATTGTAGATGCTGTCACTACAGCAAGTGAACTCAGCTTTTTCATGCTTAAATATTTCAAACCTACTGGCTTGTAAATTATGCTCATTAAGTAGCAGGGTTTTTGTTTTTGTAAAAAATCAAATTTCCTATTGAATATCCTGTTTTAACCCCTCACCCTCTCCTTTACTTTTTTTCTTCCTTAATGACACCTTTCTGCCACAGCTGACTCCCTAAAGACTTGCTCACTCCATACAAGAAGATGGAGAACTGCAGGAGGGTTTTGAGAGGCAGTCCCAGATTAAACTGATCACCTCTACATACGTTCTAGGACTCAACACAGAGCTTCATCTAATTGTAGGACTGTGCAACATCACAATGGATGTTTTTTAAAGTATATTTTTATTGATTTCAGAAAGGAGAGGGAGATATAGAAACATCAGTGATGAGAGAGAATCATTGGTTGACTGCCTCCTGCATGCCCCCTACTGGGGATTGTGCCCTGACCGGGAATGGAACCATGACCTGGTTAGTTAGCTCAACCACTCAGCCACACTGATGGCTCACAGTGGACTCTAGATGTTTGTCATTGATCCTAGATGTTTGTCATTGATTCCATCAGCTGACTCCCTAGAACAGGGGTGGGCAAACTTTTTGACTCGAGGGCCACAATGGGTTCTTAAACTGGACCGGAGGGCCGGAACAAAAGCATGGATGGAGTGTTTGTGTGAACTAATATAAATTCAAAGTAAACATCATTACATAAAAGGGTACGGTCTTTTTTTTTTCAGTTTTATTCATTTCAAACGGGCCGGATCCGGCCCGCGGGCCGTAGTTTGCCCACGGCTGCCCTAGAATCACTACATGGGGAGACAATGGCTCTGGGTGTAGCTAATTTTTAAAATAGTGTATATATTTTTTATTGATTTCAGAGAGGGGGAGAGAGAGAAACATCAATGATTAGAATCAGTGATTGGCTCTCTCCTGCATGACCCCTACTGGGGATCAAGCCCACCACCGGGCATGTACCCTGACCTAAGGAATCGAACCGTGACCTCCTGGTTCATAGGTCGATGCTCAGCCACTGAGTCACACCTGCTGGGCTATCCCATTATTTCTAGAATCATCCCTTCCCTGCACATGGTTCAGCAATTCCACTCCTCAGTCAGGCAGACACTATTCCTAGGCCTCACATCAGCAAGACATTTGCTTATCAAACCATGATGTTGGTCAATCATGAAAGGCTGAACAGTCATAGTCAGAGGCTGTGTCAAGTTCAGGGTTAGCTAGGCATTTCTCTGGGGCACATAGGAGGAAGTTTCTTTAGAGGTGAGAGAAGTAGATGCTACCAACCTATGCAAACTGTCACCTGCTTCGTCTCCTGAACAGCTGCTACAGGACTCTTCTTGCATACTGCAAGCATCAATAAATGCCTGTCTCATCGGAGCTGCACTGCATATTCAGCATTCATCCAAACATTTATTGAGCATCTACAATGTTTGTGAACACAGTTTGCCTCTGAGCAATTGCATCTACCCTATTTGCAGAAGTCAGCTTCAAGGTCATTTTTCCCCCAGAAGCTTCTGGACACCTCTCAATTAGATTAGGATTGTCACAGTACCTTGTACTTCCCTTAGCCTAGCATTTATAAAACGCCTTTTTAATGCCTGTTTTCTGATCTGTATGTACCACTAAACTGAAAGCTCTTTGAAAGCAAAAACCCAGATTTTGACTGCAGCACTTCGCACAGGGCCTTGTACAGTGCAGGCATCATTTAATGCATTATTGCTGGATTAAAGGCAATGAGTAGAGTGCTAAGTATGAACAAGTGGAACCCCAGGATGTCAGGTCAAGGCTTCTCTGAGTTCAATGAGATGTTGGAAGAGTACCAAAGTGGTCGGTTGACCAGTGCGGAACGTGTGTACAAGGTTGTAAGGCATACTGAAGAAAGGTGTAAAATTCTGTGGCTGGAGTACAGTGGCTTATCTGGGGAGCTAAGGTGCCAGACAGGAAGGGCAGCAGGAAAGGATGATGCAGAACCGCAGTCTCCGTAAGGTCAAGTCCATAAAACAGGTAATGGCAGCAACCCTGGCTTGAGAACGAGACGCCGACCTCCAAATCCTCTGGGAAAGTCCCAGAGATTCCACTGGCAGCGCCTCGCACCTCGCCCAGCCCACAGCACATGCTGCCCGCTCACCGCGCACTTCCGTCCGGGCCGAGGGGTCTTCCGGGGCACCCAGGGGTC